TTTTCTTTTCACGTGGTGTCTGTTATAGATCGTTTCTGGAGTATCAGTCAACATGGATTAAACCAAACGACCCTTCGGGTGCGAAATGCGATACACGTGCACTACAACATTCTCTGTTTTCTTGTTCTGTAATCTATGGTCAGAACCGCGCATATCGTTGCAGAGTGAAGCTAAGGGAGCGAGTCTATGGCGAACAGTACAATGACTTCCATCTGATTACATATAAGGAAGCTATCCACTGTAGTTTTTCGCAAACAGCTTGTTTGTCTTGCAGCGACTTCCTCCTGGAGTAGAATGAATAGGCCTAATAAGTATCCGGAATCCCTTGCTACTCATGACGCACAACGAGCTGCCAGGTTTGGGCATAGCATAGTTTTGAATGTGGGCTCACTATTAGTGGCCTAAAGTAGAAATGAATATAGTTATTGTTTCACCTGAGTGAATGAATCCGGTGTCCTAAATATGCGCGCCACGTATTCATCACAGCATCATTTATGGCAGCTACTCCTCCCCCACTTCACCAAAACACTAGTGAACAAAACCGTGGCAGCTATAACCACCATACAAACAGGTGATGTGATTCGTGGTCCGGCCAGCTGTTGACTAAGTCTGAATATTCACCGGCGGTGAGAGCTATTGTTGGAATAGATCAACATCTGATCTGGTTGATGGACTCGTAATCGGAAGATGACAACACGAAGGTATTCACCAATTCATCACTCGTTCGATTCCCCCGCACCCACCTGATGAGACCCAATAAGGACGAAAGCTCTGAATTAGGGGAACTTTTCGGGACCCGACCCACTCCAAACGCGATGATGACCGACATTTCTAAATCTGATATCAGTCGTTTTTTCCATACAGTCGACACTTGTATTAACCTTGATGAGCTTTTCAGTGCTTGACCTAGAAACGTGTGCACCTCATATCCGAATCTGTTGGAACCTATTTCAGGTATGCACCCGGTAACCTATCAAGAGCCAAAGTACTGGTGTTCCGTTGTCTACTACGAGCTGAACAATCGAGTCGGCGAAGCGTTCAATGCACTGCAGCCCAGCATCATTATTGATGGATTCACCGACCCATCCAACAATGCGGATCGCTTTTGTCTCGGTCTGCTGTCCAATGTAAATCGGAACTCTACAATCGAAAATACCAGGCGACATATTGGAAAAGGTTGGTCCGCCACTATTGAATAATATCTCCAAGACCCCCAAGTGTGTGGTTCCCTCGATTTCACCCTTTTATAATCAGAAATAATGTGCAGACGTCACAAAAGGCAATGTGTGTTGGTAGTTGAGTAAGGTTTGTCGGGTATCAGGGATGTGTGTGTCTAGCCGTGTGACTCGCCGTGCATTTTTGGAGTAATTTGTCCCTGCTTCCCACCTCACGTCCAAATGTTGTCCATGTTTTCAGTATCTGTTTCCTTAGTTCAGGTTGTGTAAAGTGATAATAATAATAACCAAACAATAATAATAATAATAATAATAATAATAATAATAATAATTCAGCTGTAACATCCTTTCGGTGCCTAGCTGCCATGCCACCGGAAGGAGGCACGAGGGCTGGAATACTGCTAAGTTGCCCAAGCCTAGACAGGGGAAGTCGAGTGGCAGATGTCGGGTTCGAACCACGGTCCTTCCGGTCAGTAAATTCGCACTCTAACCACTTGGGCCATCTCGCCCCATATTGCGCATACCTGACCGTCGTTTTCCGAAAAGTCGTACAAGTAGCAAACTTTTGACCAAGGGTGTATGAAAGCAGTTAAAAAGAAGTCTGGATAATGTTGGTGTGGTTCGCCTTCCAGAGTGGTGTCCGGGTGATCCGCTCTGTAACTAGTTGGAAAGTCCACGAGATTTGGCTGGTAATCGCTTTCAGTAGCTTCATTGTTTTTAACTTCGATCCAGCCTGTTTGGATGACCGTCTGGAGATGTAGACACCTCAGAATGATTGTGGTAGGCTAGGACTTAGTTCCATCTCCATTGACCTTTAGTTCTTTATTCACATTATGGCTTCCAAGGAAACTATGGATGCACGTAGCGAGTCGTCAGTATTGAATACTGACTCAGAATGAGGTAGGCTAGGACTTAGTTCCATCTCCATTGACCTTTAGTTCTTTATTCACATTATGGCTTCCAAGGAAACTATGGATGCACGTAGCGAGTCGTCAGTATTGAATACTGATGTGCTGTTGACATCGATGATGATACAACGCCAAATTTGTGTGCCCATAGTCAGTTCCTGCTATTTTATGGTATGCTACATGGCGGGTCATTTGTTTACCGCATCCATGTAATCTAGTGAATTCGCAGTTCCCAACTGAGAAAATAATTCCGAAGTTGTTCTCAATAAAGCTGGAGTGCATGGTCAGTCCTGTCTTGGTGTTATTCGGATGTCATGCCCTGTATGCAATGAGGGTACATAAATGCAACCAGTCGATATGAAGTATGCCATCAACCGGGGACAAATCAGATTCAGCCGAGATAATTTTGCCTGAAATTTCATGCTGCTGGCGCCATACGTCATTGTACTGGTGATTCTGAGCATAATTTTTTCTGTGCGTGGAACGTAGGTGTGGATTAGTTTTCGGCGCGCGCTCTGTGCATCGTGTAATCGGTCGATGAGCTGGAAGTCAGCCGGATGCAAGTGATGCATATGTCATTAGATAATTGTGTTTATAGCCGTGGCTCATAAAACAGTCAAGCGTTTCTTTTTCCTGGAATATTGTTGTGCGCATCGACATACTATCTTGTTATCTTGTTTCTAGAAGTACTCCCCGATTCTTGTGCCGCAACGAAAACCAACAATTGCCAGGTGAACAGAGGTCATCCTTGCGAACTTCGCTTTTCGTGACAATGTTTACACTGTCCACCTAGTGCTCACGTTCCTCAACCGTTCCCATCCTTCAGCTTCGTTGCCGAGCTATTACGATCCTCATCTTGTCCCCTTAGGACTGTTAGATGGTCATGTGGTTCGTTGCTTACTAACGAGGTGAAATTCTATACCATGCCAGCATCCTTCGTCGTACAGACTACCAGGTCGTATCACTTTTTGTCTTGCTTCCGGGTGCAATCAACTTCCCCCTTCCGGCACGCTTTAGCGCTTTGCTGAAAGGCATGTCGGCATCTGGCCGTATCAGATAATGTGTAGTTTTAGATTGTTTTTGGTACATACCAAAGCCACTGATTTAGAGCGTCCAAATGCAGTTGGCTGCACAATACGACTGAGGATGATCACTGGATTTCGTCGAAGTGAGCGTGAAACTTTTGTCGTTATTCGATCTTTTTGATGGAAGTGTGCTCTTTATCTGGTCTTCTGAAAACGATACTACCCTAAATGTCAACTTTTTCGGATAGCCTGTCCATTCGATTTTCCGAAACAACAGTGGTGAATCTCACGTGCAGTGGTTTTCGCAGACAAAAGTCCTCTCTTTGGAATCGCTTGTTCCGTATCTTGTTCGGTGGAGGTCTTGCTCCTGAAACTTTCATTGAGTTACTTTTTCAAAATGCATTTAATCAGCAGGCTGGCATGTGAAAACTGGACATAAAAATATTAATAAATCGCTTAGTTGCAACACCCTTTCGGTACCTAACTGCCGTTCTAACCGCTTTGGAATCGTTCCGTATCTTGTTCGGTGGAGGTCTTGCTCCTGAAACTTTCATTGAGTTACTTTTTCAAAATGCATTTAATCAGCAGGCTGGCATGTGAAAACTGGACATAAAAATATTAATAAATCGCTTAGTTGCAACACCCTTTCGGTACCTAACTGCCGTTCTAACCGAAGGAAGCATGAGGGCTGAATCAACAGCCAGTAGAAGAGCAATTTCAAAGGATCTGCTTATGTGATTCTCTTTCTAAGGTCACTAGCCACAGATAGCTTCCCACAAAGTAGAACCATTCCGCTTTGCTCCACAAGTTTCCTGTAGTTTTTATTATCGGCCACTTCGTGGAGCGTGATAGTCATTCACTTTTACTTCACTTTTACTTGGATAACAGTAAGAGACGTTTCATAGTTTGGGGGTAAATGCTACTTGCAGAACACTTCCTTTTGTCTTCTGGCAAACTCCTCTGCCTGTTGGATGAAATCTTACAGTAGAAATTGCGTCTCTGTAAAATAATTATCTGCAGAGGGGGTTACTGCATGCTGGGAGGCTGTATATGAAAAGGTGGAAGGGTTTGGTACTCAAGATGTCAGACCACTTGTTCCGGCCATCCTAGGCGTTTTGTGTTGGTGGTAGGAAATGGACTAGCATGAAAGATCACATCCGTAAGATGAGTGATTCATTAAGACCACATGTATTGTCGGTCGGATGGACACATACACAGCAGTCTGCGCTAAGAACAAGCACAGCAAATAGCTACTATCCGTGATGGTTTTGAGGCTCCCCTTACAACCAAGTGGATCATGAACCACTAGTGGTTCAATTAAACACGGAATATGAAGCGAGCGTTTGTGAATGGTCCCAAAACATTCTAACAAGTCGGGCCATTGATTTTCCCACCGCCCCTCACCCTCACTGCTCGTACCCTCGAGTAAGTGTGGTTTGTGTGGATGAGTAGTGAGTCGCCATTGGGACTATTCGTGTGCATTTAGCCCAAGGTCCTGAGTTCAACATCCCAAACTTCTCTCATGGCACTCTTGACCCGTTCATTGTGACAGTGTGGGGTATTACGTTCAGATTGCTGCACCCTTCATGCGTAACCGCTTTTGTCCACACCATTCAATGCTAAATAACACGGGCATCCTTAACCCATCAACGATCGCGCGACTTTCACCCACTGTTTTGTCCGCTAGCTTCGTGTGGGCAGTTTTCTTTGAACCACAAAGCGTTCTAAGTTCCGACTTTTTCCTGACTGAGGCAGTGGTTGACTTCTTTAGGTGAAAAGTTTGTTGTTCCAACAGACCAACTGCAACTCTATTACCTACCCTCTTTTCCTCCATATTCTCGCTCTTACAGTGGCAATCGGCTGGGTAGCAAAACGTTTAAACCACGGAAACACATACCGGACGATGACAGACAACATGAAATACTTCAGGACGCAGTAGCTACGTTGGACAGTGGGGACTTGCGACTGGCAGTTCGTCTGCCCGAGGGCGAGGACCTGCATGAATGGATAGCCTTTAATAGTAAGTTTTTCTTACACTGTGTTACATTGTTTTCTGCGCGACTCCATTCGTCCGAATTTTCGCCTTACAACAATTAGCGTACCTACCCTCAAGGCGAACATGCGTCTTTCAATGGAAAGTTGGTTTGAATTTGTAATGAACCGTATTCATCGTGATTGTGAATAATTGGCATCAATAACGAGTGTAAACCTGGATCGTTTGCCCTGAGGCATTGAACAGTGTAATTTGTTCAGGTCCACACGAAATTCATCCCAATTACCATGCATGTTGTGGTGACCATTCTGTTGGTAATTAGTGGTCCGCACCCCTTTCTGAGGCCGATCGTAGCTAAATTCTCTCCCGCTTTCCGGTGAAGTTCTGCTTAGTTGTGCCAGTGGCGTAGCATTTCTACCGGGATCTTGTCTTTAGGTTTCCCTTTACGAAACAGGACGTAACCGATCAGTAGAACAGAAGGAAACTCAAGATGCTATTACCAGGGACGCAAACTAATATGGCTTTTCCCAATCAGTTGGCCTCTTCCAACTGAGGATGTCATACGTCTTCTCATCCTTGAGGTTTCGCCCAGCTCATAGAAGCAAGATTCGTCTGCGGCGACCACCCGCTAAGTGATTAACTTGCCAGCCGTACCACGTGTTCAGGCTAGAATTTTGGTGACTTTTTTCTCTTCTGTACTCTCTGGTCAACAGTGAAAAAAGGGCAGGGAAAAGGAAGAAGAAACAATGCGACTAGAAGATACAGTGGCTCGTTCAGTGAGCTCATTTCCTATTGAAACATGTGGGCTGTAAAATAGACTCTCACTCGTGATCCAGCACCATTCGGGGTCGCAGATTTCCTCCGTTTCATTCACAAGTTTACATCCGTCCAACCCCCCACAGTTCTTATGATCGGTGCTGATATTCTTGTTGTGTTGTGATTTCTAGTCAGTTTTAGTGAAGCTACTCAACCCTATTTGTACGACTTCCCAGACTAATTAAATTCTGGCCACGGTCACCATTGTGTGGCGCAACCATTTGTCAGGTTAAGTAGGCATTGTCTTTTCAGTGTACAGTGTGTGTAAGGACAGTTCTTCTGTCTGAACTATTAAAATTGGACCTACCCTTCTCACTCCCGTTCTAATTTCTCACCTCTTTCTTACTAGCCGTCGAGTTTTTCAACCAGATCAACATGCTCTATGGAACATTGTTAGAGTTTTGTACAGAAGAGTCCTGTCCGGTTATGAGCGCCGGGCCCAAATACGAATACCATTGGGCAGACGGACAGTTGGTGAAAAAACCGGTCAAATGCTCGGCGCCACACTACGTCAATTGTCTGATGGTCTGGATTCAGCGGCAGTTAGAAAACGAAGCTATTTTCCCATCCAAAATCGGTGGGTTCCGTTTAAGTTTGTGCACATACCCTCCTCTGTTCCTATTCCCCATTGGGTGTACACCGGACCCCATCTGGTGACACTCTTAGGGCATCTTCCAGGCTAGCAAACTGAGTAACATCACAAGCGTACAAATGGATAATCCCGGTTCGAGGGTTTCCAATATTTTGCCATGCGTTGCCAACCTCGTGTTGGATTTTTTTTCGTTTCAGTAAAAACGCGTGAAGCACAATGGATTTGCTTGAAATAACACCGGAAGCAGGCATAAACTTTTGGGAAACAATCGGTAGGTTCAATAGAAGACGTTCCTGTTCGGAAAACCAGGTTACAGCCATCCATTTCGTGAAGTACTGAAGCTAACACAACTTCGTTTGTGGACAAGAGAAGAAGGATAAGGAGGATACTATCGCATCATCACAATAGGTAGCAGTGTTTCGTTCGGAGAGGCACCACCGCCCAATTTACAGAAGTTGCATGCTGTCCATCTCTCCCCATTCTTGAGCTGGATTTCCAGCTTTCTTGTTTTGTGTAACATCCGTTGGTTGAACTGCACCACCGACACGCTGTTGCACCCCTTGTCCTCCTCCGTCACCTTTCTACTGTTCTTTTTGAGACCCAAATCTTCGGGTCTTTTGGCCTCACCCTCCCGCAATCTTCAGGCTATCGATTTTCGTTGTTTCCGTTTTAAACGCAGAGTGCTCGCCTGTATCTGGATGAAACACACTACTCACAAGGTTTCCGAAAACCCACCAACAAACGAATTTATTTTCGCGAATTGCGTACACTAGGTTCACATAGAATGAAGACTCAGAGAGTAGGACTACCTGGGGAGCCCGAAGAATTACGAAACTGGTTGTGGACTGTCGGAGGGTTTTCACTGACTTCATGAACAGTGTGTTCCGTCGGGACAGTGGACTACGATATCTCGAATATCCTCCCAACTGAAACCTGATTTAGCCTATGTGCAGCACATTTAGTTGAAGAATACAAACGAGAGATTCAGGTGGAGTTCAGCTGAGTCTCCCGTTAAAACTTAATTTGTTTGCAGATGTGTTGTGTGAGTTCCTTGTCTCTTTCATTCCCTATCCTTGGCTTAGGTCCAACCTCACCTTATTCAGCAAAACTGCTTGCCGTATTGGTAATGTTTTGGAATATTGGTAGCTCGGGTGTATTGGTTGGTAATTGATCAGGTGGCTGTTGATCTGTTCGCCGAGCTTGGCAATTGATTTGCAAACGTTTCGTCACCATTCGAGGAGACATCTTCAGTGCGCTGTTGGTTGGGTAGTTCCTCTCTTCGTGCCTGCGTTTATATAGTCTACAAAGAGCAGCCTTTGCGCTGTAACCTGGATTCTGATTGGCCCGTTCTTGATCTGTATTGCGTCGTGGTCGGCTTCTCTGTTGGTTTGTGGCGTGCCTCCTATTTTTAGTAGCCTGCCGTTCTATTGATTTCTTCTTTGAGTCCTTGTCCGGCCTCGGGTTCTGTGGTTCTGGATTTCCTTTGTCCTCAGAGGCTGGTAGGCAGGATCAATCTCAATGTGCCTGTTTATTGCTCCACCGGTGGAGTACCACGCCTCCATGAACTCGCGTTCTTTCTTTGTTCTTGCTTGGCCCAGTATTCTGACGTTTTCTGAAGTTCTACCTGATTAATCTTTTCGGTTCCCTAGGTTCTTCTTATGATTATCGTGTTATAATTTGTGACCCTCTCCAGACCTAATCCATTCTGTTTTCATACACTTTACTGATTCTGTTCCTCTGTCTGAGGTTGTGTATTCAAATTTCTGTAGCAACTATCTCGATGAGTATTACCTTTCGAAGGACCCTTCGATTTTTGCTGAAACGTTATTCCTCTATACTATTTGACTGCATGAGCCAATTCAAACCCCACTATTCATAACAGAGGATCAGTCATTCATCAGCTGGTTTGATCATGGGCGCCGAGGAACGTTAAAGAGGAAAAATGATGTCAAACAAACTGCTGCAGGGTCTATAATCTGCCACCGGACGCTCACTGATTACGTCGTCCCACCAGGTATCTGCTCGTTCTTGATCCACAGAGTCAAAGACGACTTCGTTGCGCAAAAGGCAACCCACTCATCAACCATCAACTTGATCGTTTTCAACTTTGGCTTAAACCGCCAGTTGTTCCCTATGCTCTTACACATTGAACTCATCCAAAAGTTTCATGCACCAACCTACCATTGGAAAAAGTGGAGGCTTTTTGGTTGTTTCTCAGGTGGCTGTTGCTTTGTTGGCGGAGCTTGGCAATTGACTCGCAAACGTTTCGTCACCATACGAGGAGACATCATCAGTGCGCAGTTGGGTTGACAGGCTTTTGGACGGAGGCTATTGCCCAACTCATTGCCTCCCGTTCCCTCTTCTCCGTCGGCCTTTACTAGTCTGCTTAACCTATCTGGCTCATTTGCCTTTGCCAGTTGCTGACAACTAGGGAATTTTTCTTCGTTATTAAGTAGAACTCACAATTTTCGAACGGCTTGGTTCAGGTGGTATACCCCTCACTTTGTTTCGCATCTTTCCTTTTGAGTTTCTCCCTACCAGTTTGAAACCTTCATCTCTGTTTATTGGCATTTTCCTTGAGAATGGTAGAAGTCATTCGCCTTTTTTGTCTTTTTTAAAATATGATACCGCTTTGACCACAGCAACTGAGTGTGTCTGTCCATTTTTCGAGTTTTGTACGAATTCTGTCGGTCAGCTATGAGCAAACAACTTCTGATGACCTTGTGGGCAATGTCCGATTGATTGGTTACCAATATAGGTCGGGTTACTTGCCACGTCTGTTTTCCCGTTCTGTACTCTTGTCGACAAGAATGTAATTCCTCTTGGTAGTTGTAAGGCGTTTGGCCGGGTCTGTTGGACTGACGCGAGATGTCATACTTCCCATCTACGGACTACAACCAGACTTTATCATGTGGATTGGATCTTTGCAGACGGCATCAGTTCGCACTCTTATCCGACCTATTCTCTCGGTGTTCCAGTCGTGCGACGACTGCTCCTTATGCTAAACTTGTAGGCAACCCGTAGTTAGGAAATATCCACCGCAACAATGCTCAGCCTAAGTCCCTTCAAGGTACCAGCTTCTCTGGTCATCGCGCTACCGACTTAAACCTGTCCGGAACATCCACTACCGCTGCTCATTTCTCTTCCTTCAACCCTTCTTGGTTAATTATTTTCCGACTTCCTCGTGCTCACACATCAAAGTGCCCGCAATCTGAACACCTCCCGATGTTATTTCTCTATTTTTAACGCGCAATCGCTTCACTATAGCCCGATTTCTTATGTAACAACCTCACCTTACCGGGCATGTCCTTATTCCGTCTTGCTTCCATCCAACGCCAAGTTTGCCTCTTCTAAATCCTACCTCTCATCGTGGAGACGTCGCGCCTCTTGTCTTATTTGACCGTCACAACCACGAAGATTCATCACCGAAGCTGGCCTTTCCGCTTATTTCAGTCGAAAAACTTCCCTTTACCCGTTCCCCTTCCTTTTTCCAAAGAATCTCTCGTCTTTGGAACTCTGCCACCTCGTGTCCTTTATAATTGATATGACAGCCATCCTTGTGTGTGTTATATTCTGTATGTTTTCGTCAGTACAAGAGGTCGCTAATTGTATGTTGTCCTTTCATTCATAAATCACATTTGTGTAACAAAAAACACGAGTATGTGAAGAATGGTGCCCAACTATTGTAAGAACGTGCCACTTTGCTTAAATAAACTCAATGGTGAAAAGTCTGGTGTCCACAACCACGTGAAGTGCCCTAACCACCAAACGTCCAGCTCGACACTGAATAAAATCCGGTAAAAAGGACGACGGGCGACTGCCTCATACCGTGTTTCCAGACAAACGCCTAACCACCGTCCAGCTCGACACTGAATAAAATCCGGTAAAAAGGACGACGGGCGACTGCCTCATACCGTGTTTCCAGACAAACGTAGGAATGATCCCGTTAACTTCATTCTGGAAGCAGACCGCAACGATAGCATTCAGACCTTGACCTAGTCAGTTCAGTGAAATTGGATTGCATCACGTTTCCATCGTTCCACCTTAGGAACGACACTTTTTCCTTAGGTTCTCACAAGGTTGTCCATTCAAGTCATTCTGTGTGGATCGACAACCTTTGGTACTGCCTCATCTGAGAGTCTTCAGCCAAGCAGAGGGCAGTCGCCATCCTAATATGTTATAGCTGTCTAACCAATGGAAGTTTGCTATGTATGCCTTGAACTGAATGTGTAGTGATAGCGCACGAAGCTTACTCCCCGGTTACGGGAGGTAATCTTTCAATTGTGTCATCGTCTAAGCATATGACTGCCACGCAACATGGAGGGAGCACGAGGACTTCCAGGTTGTCCAAGGGCTGACAGGAAGAATCGAAAAGCCGGGGTTGTTTTTGGACCACGGATTTTTCGGTCACTGGCTTCTCCTTCTAGTGTCTTCAATGTCCCAGGCTGTTAAGAAACCCGCAGATTTAGATCACTCGGGTAACCATTATTAGCTTGCATTAGGACGACCTGAGTTTGAAATCCATTTGGTGATGTCGAATCAAGTTTGTGAGTAATTTCTGATAATAGTGAGGCTTAGATCAAAACTGACATCCATAAGCAAGATGAAAAAATTAACCTTATTTACAAAACGATAAATTTGTGATGGAGAACAAGTCATTCATGTCTTGGACTTGGTAGTTCAGCCTTGAAAGGTGTGTGTGAGGTTGACNATACGGGACTGTGAGAAGGCCTGTTCGAGCAGAAGAACTGAGACGTCTTCAGGTGTTCGACAATAGTTGCCTCAAAACTATAGCTTGTGTGGGTTGGTGTCGGAGAATCCGTAACGAGGCAATTATAAAGCGATTTTTTTGCAGAGGAGTGTGGAGGAGATTACGAAACGTTTGGGTGCTGTCGGTTCTACTCGCCTTCCAGGACGTGAACCGTGTGATCCCCGCTGCGCCTGGTTGGAGACGCTGCAAGATATGACTGCTAATCGATGTTAATGGCGTTCTTGTTTGAATGTGTCTGGAGGTGTAACCACCTCGGAATGATTGTAGTGAGCCAGCACTAAGTCCGTTGTCCACCCTTATCATTTTGTTCACAATAAGGCTTTAAAATAAATCATTGTTGTATGGCAGCGAATCATCAAGGTTGGACATTGGTGTTGTTCTGTCGATGATGACTACGATGATAATGATGATGAAACTCAGCGTATTCTCTCCCCTCCTACAGGTGCCCCTTTCCCACGTGACTTTATCAGCGTTGTCAAGGTCATTCTCAAGCGGCTGTTCCGAGTGTACGCTCACGTTTATCATGCTCATTTTGCTGACGTAAGGGAACTGCAAGAAGAAGCCCATCTGAATACGAGCTTCAAACACTTCATCTTTTTTGTGCTGGTGAGTCCCCTCCTGCCTTGGTTTTTTTCTCGCTGCATCGTTTTGTGCATTATGTATAAGTGTGATGTTTTTTAGGCATCCCTTACGGCTTGGAACCAGGTTACCGAAGGTACCCCTGTGAAGCACGTAACAGAATCATGGTTTGGTGATGCAGAAATCAAAGCAGAGGCATCTCACTGGAGTTCAAGGTAGCTGAGCGCTAATCTAGTGACGGGAAGGTCCATGAGTCGAACCTAGCCCTTACTTTCGATTGCTCCTGTCTAGTTTTGCTTAGTCTGGCATTATCTTGACCCCCTTGCTTGCTTCGAGTTGAACGGCACCGGAAGACTACCACAGCTAAGTGATGATCATTACAGAGAGTGTTCCGACTAAGTTTCAGAAGAGTTTTTATTTGGGCAACGTTTCGCTTTTGATACAAAAGCTTCATCAGGCCAAGTGAACAGGTCACCAAATTGGCCAGGTTATAAGACAGACGGGGAACCCGTCAGTAAGTCCTCTACAAACTAGATCAATGTTGAGTGTCAGCTAGTGTGAGTGCCAGAATCTTGAATTGATGGGTTGGAGGGGTTCTAAATTAGTTCCCGATCGCTTTTCGTTCCTTAATCTTCCACTTCAGGGTGCTTCACCCGATGATTCACCTCGGGTGCCACTGTTAGATTTTTCTTGGTCTTTGTGGGGTTGTGAGTGCTCCTAAAATTTAAGTTGAATGGGGGGTTGAGGTCAAGTGGCCTAAGTCGTACACCTACCCGGCCTGATTTTGGTGTGTGGCTGTATACTCAACGGCACCTGGCAGTATCTTTTAAGCACCTTTTCACCCATCTACTCACAATTCAGTACGTCGCTTAGTTGTCCTATGGTCTTTTTGGATGTGTCTGATGTGGTTTGAAGTGCCTAGTACCGAAACACTTACAGCCAGTGACGTTAGGGATAATCGAGTTCCTTGTTGACCGTGCACTAAAGAACATGTTCCCTCTCCTTGAGGCGAAACAGTTTTGAACTTGTAAAGCACCAGTAAAATTTGGCGGGATAATAATAGCTCCTTGAACGGCTGCTGAACGGTTAGCGTTTGCATCGGTTCCAGCATACCAGAGTTCAGTCAGCATAAGTTTTTTGCCGCAGCGCTATGCGGACGTTCCTCTAACATTTACAATGGACCTCTGGATTTATGCCTAATGAATATATGGCATCTCTGGATCTCCTTCGCATTGAGTTACCCTTCTCTAGTTCACGAGCCCTACTCATTGTCGCCAAAAATGCTGAAAGTATTCCACTGATAGGAACGTTGCATACCATCGAACATCGCCATACCACCGAGCTCTAATGTTTCAGGGCTGGCATTCAAGTCACTTGGTATGCACTGTGCTGCACCCCGCTGACTGGATTTGCGGATTTCCAAACAAGCATGCCTGGCAAAAGCACAGATAGATGAATACTGTCGCCAAAAACTTAGCCAATGGATGCGAATGTTTGTGAATTTTCCGTACTCGCATCACTCCCCCCACACCGTTCGCACCCGAATGTGATCAGCGTCCAAAGCCGTAGCCTTCTTTCCTTTTTTGTTTGTGTCTTACTTCCATTCGTTTTGTGCTATGCATAGTTCAGGTGTGTCTGACGGCAGTTGTTCGTGCTTACAATCCATCGCACCCGCTAAGAATGATGTGCACTGTCCTTGACACGCACTCGCTTTCGATTGCACACATACAGTCGGCACAGCACTGACTATATCACATGATCGAGGTCGATATAGCGTGATACTAATCGGATTTTCGCTTTATCTCTCTCTTTCTAACTGATACAGGCTCGAAACTCGGTCATTTTTGGAACCAAATGTCCAGAGCATAGTGTGATGTATCACCTCACTTAAACTGACAGTACCTATTTATTGTCTCAGTCAGTTCAATTAACTTCAGTTCAGCTGACAAACTGTGCAGCGGTCCCAGCTGCTACAGCTTCGTTCGCTGAGGATAGGGGTAATGAAGGGATGAGAGCCACACGTTAAAGGCGATTGCCCAACCTGTGCATTGACAACAAATGGATCTGTTTCTCCAGTATCTCAGGAAGTGGGAGCCACGCAGTGAAGCTGATGGCTTTGATTAAAGACTGCCATTGGCTGCGTGACACAGCCATGGCCTTCAGGGTCACTAGCCATTGGTTTTTTCGTTCCACGGTCCTCATCCGGGGAGACGACAGTTATCAATGCGTATGAGCGATCCTAAAGTAGGTTTGTTTGGTATCTTCACAGAGGTTTGACACGAGCTAGAAGCAGGAATATGATGAGCCTCTAGGCTCATCTAGTTTCTCACTCTTTTACTGAGTTCATCTGTACTCCTTTGAAATGCAGGTTATGGTTCTCGAAAGTCGTCGCTCGTTCCAGCCCACTTGTTAAAGTAGTTTCTTGTTCTACGCCGGACTTGCAGTAGAGCAAACGCATATACGCGGACTGTGCGGACGAGGTATGCCATCTATCAGTTCGCTTGCAACTGAGGTAAAACACATCCTAGCGTGGCAAAACAAACGTCTTGAGTCTGCGTCTGCAATCAACACTAGATAGGACTGAGTAGTTAATGGCCAACAAGGACAAAGTGATAACGTTAGTGAGGATGAGTGATCAGGACGTTAAGTAAGCCGGGCCATCAGTGATTATTCAGGAAAATAATGCCTTTGAGTCTAAGGCCTCCGTTCCTTCTCTTAACTGTTAAGCTTCCCCTCACCTCCCGAGGTAGATGAAAATCCCGTGGCTCAATGGGTTAGAGATTAGAGCTCAAATTCACTGGAAGGCCCGTGGTTCGAACCCGAGCTCCGCATATCGACTTCTTTGTTCTAGGTAACCTTCTCTGGGCAGCCTGGCAATATCCCAATCCTCGTATTTCCTTTGAGTGGCATGGCAGCTAGACATCAAGAGGGTGTTACAGCTGAACGATTTTTTTTCTGGTTGAGAGCCACGGCGCTAGTGGAATGAGAAACGCTGTACTTCACGCTGACATTGTCAGTCGTTGTCGTATCAAGATGAGCATTGCACTCGCATCAGTTGATCAAGAAAAGAAAGAAAGAAAGCGTTCAGTTGTAGCACCCTTCCGGTGCCCAGCCATGCCATGCCACCCGAAGGAAGCACGAGGGCTGGGATACTGCCAGCCAG